GTTTGTTCGCACATATAGGTAGTGACATACATAGAAATAAATTTACCAGCCAATTGGTTTAAATTTGGAAACTCTTTTGCGTCCAAAAATTTGTAAAAATAGATCAAGTTTCCTTCCTTGTATTTGTTCTTGATTTGATCGCTAGTTTGAAGATCAATTATTTCCATTTGAAACTGACTTGAAACGTCGCCAACGTTGCAGTCATATGGATTTTGAAACAGCCGAATTTCCCTTGAATTTATGTAAAAATCAGAAAAACGCTACATTTATATTTTACGAAATTTTTCAAAATACTTGGCGGGCCGGATAAAATCGCCTGCCGGGCCGTAGTTTGGACACCTCTGGTCTAGAGTATTAAGTAATAAATTATAACGTAACTTTAATGAATTGGAAATTAAATTAGTTTTTCAGCTGTAACATAAATTGTTAATTACTATAATCTTGTGATTTCTTAAATTTAATCATATTTAGTATTATTCTTTAAGTTTAATGATTCAAAAATTTTATGCTATTTTATTCCTTTCAAGTTTCTTATTATGAACCGCATAATTTTCTGAAGTAGTAAACTTTGTTAATAGAAGACGAAGTGCATAAGATCATGAAACTATATGAAGATCAGCGAACCATTGAGCATCTCCAAGCATTTCTTGTACACACCGAGGTAAAATCAATGTACATCTTGTTATCAATGTTTGCGTGGAGTGTCTTTGCGGCACAACTTGGCAGTAATTAGCGCCGGATACCATGATTTATTAAACCTTATCTGGGGCGTTAATTACTGAAATTATTATTATTATTATGATGCAGGAGGGTCTCTTAATTAGTTAGTGACACGTCCCGGTGCGGTTGTCCGCGTTCTACACTTGAATTAATTGCCTTTTGTACAATGTATACATAATTTATTTTTTTATATACTTCAACGTTGGATGCTACAGCGACGGCTGGGCGGATCGGGGCGACGTTACCAAAGGATTGGAGGCGGAGGCCTGGGGAAGCCTCTCCGTTCGTATCCATTCGCCGTACGTCAGGGAGTTCGACCAGTACTATTTCGGTCTTAAGCCGGATACCAACGTACGAAACCCCTGGTTCCGGGAGTTCTGGCAGTCGAGATTCGGATGCAAGCTCAAGGAGGATGATGATAGCGTGGACACCATCCACGAAGAGCAAATCCCCAAATGTTCAGGTGACTCTAAAATAAAGGATACACCAAAAAATCTGAGCGCTGCAAAGATGGACAGAGACACTCGGGGCTATATGAAACATGTATTGAGCCGGAGCTCTGCACTCTTTTTTTCGTTTTATTTTTTTTCTTCTTCTATTTTTCATGTTCAGAACAAAAGGGCATTCCGTCCCTGCGGCCGATTTTCCTCTCTCTATGTATTGCATACGGGTCGCGAGAGTGCTGCATTCGAGGGTTGAAAAAAGAACTATCCGCGTTTAATTCAACCGCATTAATATTGAATCCCTTGATCGCACTGCGTTAACTTTTCGAATATGACCGAAACGAAATTTGCACGCGGAATCGTGTGTCTCTGCCATTGAATGCACGCGACATGAATTGAAAATCAGACGATAATTATACATTTCCCCCGGTGCAGCGGATAAACATTTTAATTACTCTTCGCGCAAAGTAAATAAAACTATCATTAATCACTTTGTAGAACCATCAAACATCGATCAATTTCTTTTCACCTATTAAATCAAAGCACATTCATTCAATTATTATTTTACTTTTGAATTTTTCATTAACGCTTTACAAAGTGATTGTAAATAAAATCATTATAATTAAAACCATAATTATTTAATACTATTACGCTTTCTTCGGTTATTGTAATAAAACAATCAAGTTATACAATTTTATTCTTTAAAATATTTAACTTCTTCAGGTAGTCCGCGTTTTTTTTTTCTATAGAAGTATTCCAATGGGAATTACACTTTGATTTACGTTGTATCAGTATGCATCTCAATTTTTATTCTCGATGAGTGAATAAAAAAGCTTGTATTATTAACAAAAAAAATTATTACTTCTAAAAAAAAAAGTTAAAATTAATCTAAAAAATTACTTCAGATTTTAATTAACAGTTAATTTAATGATAATGTACTTTCTGAAAATTCGGTCTAAATACTTCTTGATTTAACTTATATTTAATACTCTTGAAATACTATTATTTAAACATTTTAATTTAATTTAAGTTTTTTTTTGTTGCATTATTATTAATTTCGTAATGTTTCATTAGAAACGTATGATGGAAAATGTATTTTTGGTCCCGGCTAGTCCTAATTGATCCGCAATTAGTGCGTTATTTTATATGGTAATGTGTGCGGAAAGTAATCCAATAAGTTAACCGTTGGTGCGGACTGGCAATGAAGTTATTACCCTAAGATCAAACGGAAATGTACTCCGATAATTCCATTAAATCATGACAAACCGAAAGTTTTCCGAACTAATTTGTTTACGCGATTTCATCTTGGCCATCCGCGCGGCTGAGTGGAATCGAATGGATCGAATCAACCGAGATCGATATTTTTAATCGCAAGCTCATATTCTAGAAAATAAATTAGATCGAAGATGCGTTCAAACCGCTTTTTTTTGTTTCACCCGTGTGGTTTTTATCTGTGGAAGGTAACGAACGGCTTTCTGATGGTTATCGGCAGGACTCTAAGCTCAGCTTCGTCATAAAGGCCATAAGGAGTTTGGCGTACGCGATGCACGCCATGCAGCAGGACATCTGCGGCTCACCCAGCATCGGCCTCTGCGATAAACTGCTGCCCTTCAATGGATCTCTCTTCAAGGTTCTCGTTACTTTTATATTATGTTTACTTTCATTCATCTAGTTTGTACAAAAGACCCTATTCCTTGTTTATTCCTCGAGAACTGCTGTTCAAACACCTGCATGTCTAGCTTTTAGAAATATAAAAGGTATACACTAGGTAAAGTAATTTAGAAGATTTTTGCTATAATTTATGGAGTAGGTAATGTAAGAGACAAAGAGATGTAAGCCTTTACCAAGAAAAATGTATATTGCCTACGGGTCGTGCTTTGCAGAGACGATAATTTGCGAAAGTTTCAAATAAATAATGATGTATTTCAAGGGCTACCGGGCACGAGTCCTCGTCCCTCGGGACTCGTGAATCTATTGTCGTTTTATGTGTGCTCTTGGCTCGATGCTGCCCGACGTCTTTCCACTTTGTAAATATATTAGGGCAGCGCTCCCAGTCGTCGGATTTGCGCAAACAGCCGTCATATCCGTGAGAGGGAGAGCGGCAGCAGCAGCGGCATTCCTTGTTTCCGTCAATTACACCCCTTTTTGATGATTGCTCCCCCATCGCAGAATTACCTCATGAACGTCTCCTTCGAGTACGGCGGGGATCTGGTGGAGTTCGACGAGAACGGAGACCCTCCCGGAAGATACGACATCATGAACTACCAATTGACGAAGAATAAGGGCGGTTACGATTACGTGAAGGTCGGCGAATGGAACAACAGGAGTCTAGTGTGGAAGGAAACGATCCAACTGGGGCCAAACATTTTCAGGAAGTCCGTTTGTTCGCAGCCCTGCGAGAAGGGCCATTACAAGGTGATAATAATCAGAGGAAATTGATAGAAAATCAGTTAACGAACGGGGTGCGTTTCTTTCAGAACGTTCAGCAAGGTGGAAAGGACAAGAGGTGTTGCTGGGTGTGCGTTAACTGCCCGTCATCGCACATCTTGAACGAAACAACTCAAGCGTGCGATAAATGCCCTTTAGGTTACATCCCCAATTCAACACAAACCGGTTTAACTTATTTGTAACATTGATTTTTCATTAGTTAATTAATTTTATTTTTAGAGTGTCTTCAATTGCCGATAGAGTTTATGAAATGGTCGGATACCCAAGCTATTGTTGCTATGGCTTTCGCAGGATTCGGATTCTTCACTACCGTCTTTTCCTTCAGCGTTTTCCTCAAATACAACAATACGCCGGTAGTGAAATCGTCCACCAAAGAGCTGTCTTACATAATCCTCGCTGGAATGACTTTATCTCACGCCGCTATATTCCCTATCCTCGCCCGTCCGCAGATGATTTCCTGCGCCCTGAGCAGATTCCTTCCGGGCCTCAGCTTCGCCATGATCTACGCGGCGCTCCTCACGAAAACCAATAGAATAGCGCGCATCCTGGCCGGAAACAAGAAATGCTTCCCCAGCAGGAAACGTCTGTTCATGTCCACCGCTTCGCAGGTCGTAATCACGTCTTTCCTAATCACTTTCCAGATCCTCATCTCGCTCTGGATGCTCCACTACCAAAATCCTGATGTCGCCCATCTCTACCAGCCAGACCGAACGATCCTCGTGTGCGACACGACCCCCGAAGGCGTCCTCATCCCGTTGACCTTCGACTTCTTTTTAATCCTCCTGTGCACGTTGTACGCGCTCAAGACTCGCAACGTGCCCGAGAATTTCAACGAGGCCAAGTTCATCGGTTTCGCGATGTACACGACCTGCGTGATCTGGGTGGCCTTCGTGCCTATATACTTTGGCAGCGATTCCAAGGTGATCACAATGTGCATGTGCGTCACGCTCAGCGCAATGGTCACCTGGATATTCCTCTTCATCCCGAAGCTTTACATAATACTCTTCAGACCTGAACGAAATAACCGGTCATTTTTCACCACGAGCAAAAGCATCCGATGCCACATCGGATCCCGAGTAGCGTCCGCTCTAACAGAGAAGAGTTCAGTTAACAGCTGGAAGGATTGCGGCAAGGAGATCGTACCGCATTCGCCCCAGAAACGCACATTATCGTGTCAAACAGGCGTGGAACTGCTGCAAGTTCTCCTGAGTCCTCGCAGACTCATGGAAACTTATTCACCGAAAATCAACGCACCAAGGATTACGGAACGCGACTGCTGCCAAACAGATTCGTGTCAACTGAAGAAAATAACTATAAGACTTCCAGACACCACTTTCCAATGAAGCCAAACATGAATAGAGTTTAGAGAGAATTGATGTGTTCATAACCAGACCAAACCCAAAAACAAGAAACAAATTTTACAATTAGCAGTTTTTATCTAAAATTTGTTGCAGAGTCAAATATTTGTTTCTTTTAGGAATTTATACATAGAATAATTTACTAGCATTCCAAAATCGCATATCAAATACCTTTTATTTCTTATATGTAGCAATAGAAAGTAAATCATTTACGTAGATTATCTAAATCGATCAAGAAATAAAAGCATTAGAAATTCAGTCTGTTATATATATATATTAGATCTAGCATGAAAATATATAACAAATTAGAAAGTAACCAAAATTATAAATTGTCTGTAACATGAATATATTGAGATTTTGAAATATTTATTTACAAATCGTATATATACGATAAGAATAAAGAAATCATACTAATAGAGCGCATTTTTTTCTTATAGTAATGTAATAAAAATAATTATTAATCTTGTTTAAGTTAATTAATCTTCTGCTAACGACGTTTTACTAAATCAAAGACTATTTTCAAGTTTTGTATTAAATCTACAAGTATTAATGAAGAGGTATTAAGGTTAGATTGAAACGAATTGAGGGTTTTAGTAACATCTTTTAGTGCTGCTATATTTATTTAATTTCAGATAACATTTAATATTTAATTACATTTAATAATTTAATAAGTAGTGTTGATTTACTTTACACGAGTGCTCATTGTATACAAATACAACTAAAAAATAAATTGCGATCCATCGAGTACAATAAAAAAGGAACAGAACGAACAAACGAACGATTTTCTCCTTCTGCATTTCAAAAATATGTTCTTTCAACATCTTTCTAAATATATTTGTGTGTGTGTATATATATATAATATGTATATATGATTTTCTATATCTTTAACAAACAAAACAAGAAAACAGTATATAAATAACAATCGCGATATGTTTTCATATGTTATCATCTCTTCATTACTTAACTCTGTTGATTGCATCCTTTTTGAATATGTTTTTGTTCATTTGGTTCGTTTAAGTGAAATCATAAGAAGCTTACGTCTACACACGATTCCATCACTATCTACACACATTCAAAATAGAAAATAACAATTGTATAACAATTATCTTACAGTAATATGAGTTTCTTTGAAGCGGTTTTTTTTTGTCGCCTGGAGGTTAAATCTAACAATTTTCCTCTAGCGACAACTCTGGAAGCATTTCCTTCTTCAACAAAATAAAATTGTAGACTCCACCTCCAGACTTATCTTTACATACATCCTAAGTACAAGTTTTTTCCCATTTGGTTTAATATCATTCTTACATTGTATACATTTATTTATATCTTATTTATTTATATATGTATATTTATTTAATATCATCTGTTTGGAGATCATTGCTTATGTCAAGTGTTTGTGTATTAGCGGGATCACCTGGTAAAGTTTTGTTTTATTTTTTTGAAAGGTTTTGAAATAAGAGTTGTATGTGAAAGAGATTGAGAGAAAATCCAAATGATTATAAAAATATCCTATTCGTCTCTTCAAAAAATTCTACTAGGGTCCTAAGGGCCCTCTAAAAATCTCAAATTTATTTGTAAATATACTGTCTTTAAAATAATGAAAGTCCTTGCGATATGTATCCGTTTTTTTTACATTTCTTTCGAAATTATCTTTGTTTTTTTTACTTTAATTTTACTCTGGATATCTGTTCGTTTGATATTGATATATTGCAGAGATAAATCAAACCGAAATGATAATTTTACCAGTTGTATCCCGAATTAGCGGATGCCGGTTGCTGGGTCTCAATCCTCACGCTGTACCCATTAGTCTGGAAGATGGAAGAAGACATTAGGTGCTTTAATTATTCCAAAGAATAGAAAATTACTTACTTCTTACCTGAAATCCTGAGTATTGGTTTGTACCATTCGAAGTACCGAATGGATTTTGAGGCGCGCCACCGGGGATGTCCAAAGTTCCTCCAGCTCCAGTTTGATAGGTAGCTCCGTAACTATCCTGACCTGAAGCGAGTTCGTGCAGTTTGCTGCTGGATAGAGCTCTCGGAATCGGGTTACTAGGTACACCGTGCGGAGCCAGATGGGCTGTTTCTTCAGCCATCTGTCTTGGATCTTCGGTTGTCGGTATTTCCGACACGAAGCCTTGATCCACGCGATAGAAATTGATGAAAATGAAAGCTCCCAGCACCACCAAACATACAACGCCGTAGCCTCTGAACGTCGCCGTAGATCCGAAATTGTTAACCAAAATCCCACCGAACACGGCTCCGCATCCTCGACCTAATCCGTGGTGGATTCCCTGGAGGACTCCCTGAGCCGAAGAACGCATCTGTTGTGGTGTATTGTGTGCTATGTACGAGCAGCAAGCGGCCCAAACCGCGGCATGCGTAATCCCCTAAAACATCAGCAATAGAATTCGATACAAATCAAATTATATCCCATCAAACCTGCATGAACTCGAACGGAAGCACCCACCAAGGATCCGTCAACCACGATATGTACAAGAAGCGCAACGTGTTTCCGACCAGACCCAAGCACAGCACCTTAACGTGACCTAATTGTCTGATCAAGCGGAAACTGAAGAAGTACGCAAAGATTTCCGAAACGTGATTGATGACGGAAGCAATGCCAAACAAAGTCGGAGTTCCTTCGTAATCCTGCAAGTGCCAGAAGAGGAAGGTGAAGATCAATCCGATTCCGAAACCCATGAACCATGCAACGAACAGGAACGAGGCACACTTCAAATTCTTGAATTGATTCAGAACTGTGACCCATTCTGGCATTTCCCTGGTAGTTTGAGCAAATATCTTCGACTGAAATATAAGAAAAGTTTGTTTTTGTTGTTTAAAACGAATTATTTATAGATAATAGGGGGTTGGGAAATACTTTAGCTTCGGGCGCAGTCTGGTTTGCGGAAGTGGCCCTGGTATCGGCCAAAGAGGGAAGATTCAATTGTTCCGCAAGTTGCGCCTGCATCTGATCTTCTTTGCTCAAAGCCGGAGGCGATTCTCCGTCCTCCTCGGATTTAGCCTTTAGCGGATGATCGTCGGTGTCGTATTTGAATGTGATTTGGGTCGCGGTGATCAATGCTGCGCCCATCAGAACGGAAAACGTGGCGAAGCAGATCGTGTAATTCTTCTCTTTGCTCTCCGGGCCGCACGGATGATTCGGAAAGGCTGTGGAATGATCCAGAGCGATTCCTACAAAGAACATGGCCAATCCCCAGCCCAAAGAACCGAACATTCTCTGATGACCGTACCGATCGGCGTCCTCTCCCAAAAGCGTGATTACTGCTGAATCGGCGAGAGTTATGGCCGGAGCGCTGAAGAATTCCCCAATTATGACTAGAAGGAGCAACAGAAAGAAAGCTTTCTGGATATCCTGGGTCCTGTACACTATCGATGATATGATTGGTTTCACCCAGCCCTGATGTTCCTGCTCTTTGTAGTTGCTGGCGTAGTCCACGTTTATTGGGGACACGCCGGGATTGATGAAGATCTTCGGAATATGGACTTCTGGGAAATCAATCGATCTCTTGACCATTAATCTCGTTGTTATTTCTGGGGTGGTTAGTAACGCTGATTTGTTTTTGGTCTCGATGCACGAGGCGGCTGGTGGTTGGATGGAACCCAGCGGGACGGTAAAAATGATCCAGGCGGCCAAGGACGCGAGCAGAAGGATCTTCCCCTTCTGATATCTGTCGGCCAAGGTGCCCCAGAATGGGGCAGAAAGAAACTCAACGAACGGTCTGCAGCCCACGAGGAAACCACATTGACTCGCGTTCATGCCCATCTGCTTAAAATAGACGCCCATGAGTGGAAAGAGCGAACCGAAGGCAGAGTAGAAGCAGAAGTAGAAGCATTTGACGATGAGAAGTTCCTGATCAACGCTTCCTCCGAACACCATCTCCAGGAAATCGGAGCGACCTCGAATCTTGTGCGTGGCTTCCTTGGGTGCTCCATATCTGCAAGCGAGAGCAAACGATATCTTACTGAACTTCGACCTGCGGTCTTACCGTAATTACTTGGTCGGATCGACTTCGCCCAGCTCCTCGGGGTCCACCATAGGCCTGGCACCGGGCGCCTCGTTGGGTCTTCCAGGATATTCGTAATCGCCTTCCATCTCGCACTGCACTTCCAAAAAAACTACTTGTCTCTCGAAATATCCACAACCACAACCGTTCTCCCGAATCGATGGCCACCAACTCGCACTCTCTTCCGAGCTCGACGCGCCGAACAGATCAATAAACATTCGCGACGCCGCCGTCGCGACGTTCGTATTCGCTCTTTCTGTGCACACTTTAAAATTCCTAATATCCAAATACCAGAGTTGTACTTAAGCTTTCTGGCGCCAGCATAAAATAGTAATAAGTTAAAAATTTCTTAATATGAAATATCATACATATCTTTGCAATTTATATTAAAGACTTGTAAAATACGTGCAAAATTATAAGAAGTAAGTACACTTAATAAATTAACTTTAACTTTACATCTTTACTCTTACAAAAATATTCTGAAAAGCTATATAAGACTTTAATGTATGAAATTAACATGATTGACGTAAACGTGACGTTACTAATTGGAGAATCCCTTTTATAAAACTATGAAATATTAATAGGATTGTTGATGGAAAATGCTGATCTTTTTCAAAATCTATAAAAAATATATATGTTTTAATCTTAAAATCTCTACATAGAATCTATTTGTTCAAATTCTTCATTTTATTAATATCCGCCAACCGCTCCCTGGTATCCAAAAGCTTCCTGTCCCTCTCCTCCTGTTCCCTGCGTTCTCTGCGCTTCTTCTCTCTATGCTCCATCGGTTTTATCGGCAACAGAAGAATCACGCTAAACACAATCATCGAACCGGCAAAGATAAACGATGCCATGTAATCGTGCGTCAATTCCTTCAGCTGTCCAGCAACAGGCACGCCAATTAAACAGGCTATACCTTCAAAGAGAATTATGATTCCTATGCTATTGGTGAGCTTCTCTAAACCGAGCATCTCGACGGCAATAATCGGCCGCAAAGAGGCGATGCTGGCTAAACAAAAAATCGAATGATCAATCGATTGATTTTATAAAAGAAAATACAAATAATATTTACAGATGAAGAAGCCGAATATTCCTGTGTAAACGAACATCATATAGACTTCATGGAAGAAGACAACTGCTATGGTCGCTGCTCCAGCTATGAATAGAAATATTTCCGTAATCATGAGAGCGTTCACGTTAGGTATGAAGGTCATGATGCCGGTGAGGAAGCGACCGAACGCATTCGATATCCCTAAACCTGTCAGCATTAACGTGGACATTTCATCAGGGAATCCCCTACTTATAGCAAACTCCAATATGTAGGTGTAAGGTGTATATAATCCTAAATAGGTGAAGGCTCCGCTGAGAGCTAGCAATACGAAAGGACATCCCTTTAAAAGTGAAAAGTCCATCATCGTCGCAAGAGTCCGCTTTACACTCTCCGGATAACAAACGCAGCATTTGGTGCTCTCTTGCAAATCGCGTAAGCTTATGACTCTCGTCACTGACATGTGATAACTGAGATTGCTTCCACCCTGCAAAACACACAACAACAGTTACATATATGTTTCACGAGGATAATGCTCAAATCTACTTCTCTCATCCTTATGTATTGCGGAAGATTGGTTACAGAAGCTGTGTACATAATGTCATCGCGATACATTGGCCGATTGATGTGCACCCTATTGCAGAATTCGCACAAGCAGCAAAACACGATCCGACATTTGCAGCACCTGCAGCATTTTGAGCAGCGAGGTCTACGATCAGAATCTGAGAATTCAGCCAATAAACGATCCGAAGTGAATGATGTTGCGGAATGCTTTATATTCTTAATGCTCTTGAAACTTGCAGTCTCGCTTCCCAATTTCTTCAGTGTTCCAGGATTTGAAATAGAGTACGAGGCGTTCGAAACCAGATCAGCGTTCGTCATGTACCCTTTGTTGTGATTCTTGTAGAAAATGCTCTTCGGATTCTCCTCGTTAACGGAAACGGAAGCCATAGACATCTTGTCATCGTCGTAGCGTTTCTTATCCGAATAAATCTCGACCGGTTTTATGGGTTTGTAGACGAAACCCAGGAACGCCTGGATAACGCACAGGCCCGCGAATATTCTGAACTTGAATCTCCAATTGTAATCCGCTAAGAGAATGTTGAAGACCGGCGGTATCGTGAGTGTGCCTATGGCACTTCCGGTGACTGCAATTGAAGTTGCAAGTGATCTCCAATGGTCGAAGTAAAAGCCGACTGCCAGGATATTAGCAATATAAGACATGGAGAAGGCCATCCCCGCCAACACTCCGTAAGTTAGCATGAAAACGGTAGGTCTTTCGACGTACGAACTGCCCACAAGGCTGCAAGCGCCCAAAATGCCACCAGCTACTCCGATTACGCGAAAACCCATTCTGTTTGCGATCGCGCAATCGATGGGCCCTAAAATCATACACTTATCATACCAATACTTTGTTTAAACAATCAATCCATATATACCAAGTAAAAAGTAAACGGCCGTCAAGATGGAGCTGGCAACGGCGATGGTTGATTGACTGGTATGCATATCTTCAGCAATTTCCTTCAGGAATATACCGAACGTGAATATTATTCCATCGGTGACGAAATTCGATATGAACGATGCGAATACGACAAACCAGCCCCATCCTCCATCCGGTGGAATTATAACAAATTCCACCACATTGTTGTCGACTATAAACTGGGACGTTGTGATATTGGAGTCATCAATTTGGACTCTCTTCTTCTTGTTGGGACCTGGCCGAGGGCGATTTTTCTGATTACGTTTTGCACGATCTGACATAACTGACAGACACCCACCTTTTGCCTCCTTGTTTTTCAATTCGTATAAAAAAAACTAAAATTAAAGATTCGGTAATTCCAGTGCAAGGGATATAATTAAAATCAGGCAAATAAATTTGTTATTCCTCTATTTTCATTATCATTATTATTGTTATCATTCTCACTCGCATTCACAGAAAATAATATAACAGAAAAAACAAAATAAAAAATCAAATTAAAGTAATTATTTGATATTACAGGATTATCAATTAACATAGTAATGATTGCACATAATTCATTAAATTAGAAACAAACAAAATAATAATAATAATAATCAATATATATATATATAATTAAAAAAAACAAAAATCTCTCTGTGGATTTCCTCAACTATTTTATTTACTTATTTTTTGGTAAACCTGGTCAATTGTAAACGATTTGGTCGGCATTTTGGAATGTTTGCTGGTGAATCCAAAATCAACAACAATAAAATAATAATCGTAAAATCGAAAAAAAAAAACATAATAAATAAGTACACAAGTCGATTAGCAGGGAGTTAACGTTTCACTTAATGGCTAAATTACATAACGAAAAATAATAATATTAATAAAATAATAATATCTGTGTATACATATTAAAGAGATGCAAGGGTGATGGCATCACCGAAAACAAATTGATGGACTGTTGCGCGTCGCCAGCGTCGATTCTTTCTTCTTGTTTTTTTTACCTTTTAATATTTACAAAATATAAAAATATTACAAATCAGTCTTTAACATAGATATAGAATAGATTTAAATTTGTTACGGCTGATTCAAAATGTGATTTTGGAAGAGCTTGATTTTCTTGTATACGTTGAAAATTGACTAATGCGAAAGAAGACGGAGCACAGATTGTTTTTTTTTTGTTGAACTGGATCGAAATGTAAAACTGGACAGAGAAGAAGAAAATAGAAAATAAAAACATATAGAATTAATCAATATGATTATAAGACGAAATAGTAGGAACATGCTAATAAAATATATATATATAAAAAAAACTATTTACACTTTAAAAAGTCAATTTAAATATTTGTTGTCTCGTGTCTTTCTACTTTTTAGTTGTTGTTGTTGTTTGTATTATCGATGTGTAATTGCTTTATATCGGTACGGATTTGCTTTCTTTTTGTTCCAACTTCCTCTTTTCCCAGCGGTTGATCCAGTTGAGCGGGTAGCACATTACTGCTGAGATGAAGATCAAACTGCCGGAGAGGTAGAAGGAAGCGTCGTAGCTTCCGGTGGCATCCATGAAGGCTCCTGCCATAGGGGAACCAACAGCTGCGGCGACACCTTGGAAGAGCAGCAGAAGACCGAACGCGTTTGTCAGCTTCTCCAATCCTAAGAGTTCAACTACCAGAATCGAACGTAACGATGCGAAAGTTGCTGAAATAAAATAAACAAACAAAAAATCACAATCTATTATCATAAAGAATGTAATGGAAAACTTACAAATAGATAATCCAAAGACAATGGCATAGAAGTACTGATATTCTTGAGATCCAGAGTATCCACTGAAGAATGTAGCAATACCACCAATAGAGATGGCAACATTGTTTACCATTAACGTATCGATCTTCGGGGCGAAACTCAACATTCCGCACAGCACCCTGCCAATGGTGTTAGCTACACCGATAGCAGATACCAGCCAGATGGCTTCATCGTTCTTCCATCCGTTGAGTTCCGCTCTGTCGACGATGTACATAAACGGTACGTAAAAGCCCATCATGGTGAACAGACCGCTCAAAGCGAGCAACAAGAAGGATGGAGATTTCAGCAAGCTAACATCCAGCATAGTAGCCAAAGTCCTTCTGACAGATTCCGGGCACATTTTGCAGCCTCCCTTGTTCTCGACCTCCTCTTCAATATCCTCCTTGGTTGGCAATCTCGTGACGGAAAGATGGTAAGCTAAAGAACCCTGCGATTGGTATTGTGGAAGCCTGTTGAGACTGGCGCCGAAGAACACGTCATCTCTGTATAAAGGTCTGCTGACTTCGGTGAGTGTTCCCCTCCTGCTCCTCGGGTGACTAGCATCAGAAGTAGTTCTCGGTCTGTGACCGCTCGGTCTTCTGCTCGAAATGATCATCGGTGTCGATCCCTTGTTGTTCAGCAAAGGTTGTTGAGCTTCTTTGGGCTTATCAGATTCGTTGATGAATGGTACGCTCAGTCTCTTCTCGCCGTTCCTTGTGGGTTTGTTTTGAGTCGGTACGGTAATCGTGTGATATACTTCGGCGGCGCTCGGGTAATCCGCGTTATTGTTGGCACCGAGTATCTTGTTCAAAGTTCCTTGGCTTTGGCTGATCGAATGGATGCTGTTGCCGATGTTCTTCAGCGCGCTCTCCATCTTCTCCCGGGTGGCAACTGGCAGTTTATCAGAGTCCATGACGAGTTCAGGTTTCCTGTTCTTCAGATCCTTAACTTTCGTTGGTTTTACCGGCCTGTTGTAAAATAGAAATTTCATAAAATAAACTATTCAAGGTGTATAATTAAATTTTTTAAACTACCTAAAGAGTGAGCCGAAGAAAATGCAGGTGAGAACAATGCAACCTTGAACGATCAAAGCGTTCCTCCATCCCAATTTCTCTACGAGAATTGCGGAAATCGGAGCGAAGAGGAAGGTTCCGATACCGGAACCGCATACACCGATTCCTGTTGCCAAAGCCCTGTACTTCTCGAAGTAGAATCCCACCGTGATCACGGCCGGCACGTAAATGAGCCCAAAGCCGACACCTGAAAAGCGATTTAAAATTTTAATAAATGACCAGATTCGCATGGTTTCGAATCTGAAAGAAATTATGTAGAACGAATGATAGGAGTTTCGCATCTTTCTTTTGTGCATGTGCATGTTTTCTTTTCTTTATTGTTTTATTTTTTTTTAAAAGAATATTTGGAGGATGCTGATGAATTGATGAAAGCTCTCTGGAATGATTTGTGATGGTGATAGAAGTATGAAGAACGTAAGATACTAACCTCCAAGGATACCGTATGAAAAGTATAAGTAGGGAACACTGGTGGAAAAGTAGGATAGTGCGAATGCTATAGCACCGAGGATGCTACCGAGGATCGCGACCAGACGGAAGCCGAAGCGATTGGCTAGGGCGCTGGCGAAGGGCCCCGTCATTAAATAAAATCCTGACATGAGGGAACCGATAAGAGCGACCTTTGCTTTCGTCACATCAAAGGTGGTACTAATTTCAGAGAGAAACATCCCGAACGAGAATATTATACCATCCACTATCATATTACAAGCGAAGGATGCGGCCACCACAACCCAACCCCAACCTCCGTCCGGCGGTACCACGACCTCAGCATCCTCATCCTCGTCTTCAACACCAACCTCTCCTCCTCCAACAGCGATAGCTCCGTTCGAGGCCACCGCGGTCTCCGCAACAACAGCCGTCGAAGTGATGCCATCTTCATTCATATTGTCTTCCTCCTCCTCCCTTGGAACGGCAACATACCTCTTCTCATCGCTACCTGGTGGAACCCCATTCGGTGGCGACATCTCCTCAGCTCACTGCAAACATAATTACACAATCAGTTGCGATCCCGATAACCCCAATTATTTTACTTCTTGCCACCGACTACAATCATCACATTTTAAATATTGCGCAACTATTTACAAAACATATTTTGGAAAATATTTTCCAAAAAGCATAGCTGCAATTTACACTGATAACACGTACATACAAATATATTCATATATAACTTCTTTTTTTTTGGTCGCATTTTAACGATGACCTTACCGATAGTAAGTTCCATTTAAAAATAGATATACACCGATAAAGATTTGCAATGTTCTTTAAAGTTTCTGATGTTCGCGTCTTTAACTTCGTTCTGCGACTGAAGAAGCCACAAAGCGAAGGCGATTTCCCAAATTGTCGACCAATTTCTCTGTCGTCTATTCCGACTAATTAAGAACGCATTACGCTATTAGCTAAAAACCTGCTCCAAACGCGAACGTCCGTAAACACTCACAAATACGTGTACGCACATACACACACAGTGTTTTCCAAGGCAGTTCATGTACCTTTCAATTAAAACTCGAGCTTACGTAAAGCGGACTTTTGTCCATTCGCATCATAATTTTCCGCAAATAACAATGAAGATAAAAAAAATAATAAGAAAACATGTGCGTATTCCTTTTCGATGTTTGCCTCTCCGATTAGGGCCGAGCTCTTTGTCTTACCGGTTTTCACGACTTTTACGGTGTTTGCTTTCGAAAGTGGATTTCGGTTGTTGGCTCTATGAATTATCCGCACGATACGAAAAACGCTCTGTTTTTATCAATTATCCCATTAGGATCATTATCCGTCGGAAAATTCCGTGGGCGAGCGCAAAAATAAAACGAATTAATCGTGACAACGTCGTTTCCTCTAGCTTTTCCGGATCCTCGAAGCAACAAGTGCACAATCTTAAGTGTAAATATTTGTGCAACAACTCGCTAAAAACCTTTTCGCCATCAGTATTTGCTTGTTGAAAACGGTTTATTTAGCTTCCCATCTACTTTATTTTGGGAAAACAACTTGACAATGCATATAAATTACATTGTTTTTTTTTATAGCTAAAGACATCATATAGAAATTGCAACTTTTTTTTTCAATCTCATCTCGTACCCTTGAATTTATGTTAACAACTTTTTTTTATTCCTTCCTCCTCACCTTGAAGCTGTAAGCAAGATCCGAAAGAATCTTTATTGCGGCTTAATTCTAGGAAGAAGTAGGAGAAGAAGGAAATGATAATAGGATATATTAAAGCGTGTACAACTTGTTCTTCATTTCCCATTGGTTTTGGGGATTTGTTGGTAAACAGCAGGTCTAGAAAAAGATCTATTTGTTGTGGTGTACCTGGACGAAAACGGAGAGGCTAAATAATGTGTAAATATTTAGAACGGCGGCGGTTGCGTAACAAGAAACGGCCGTTTTCGAGACGGCCACGAAAAAAAATGAGAAAAAGGCGGTGGAAGAGGTGAGGTGGGAGGAGGAGGAGACGAAGATGGAGGTGGAGAAGGAGAAGTAAAAGACACGAGAGAAAGAAGCACGGCCGTCCAGATTCAAGAGAATTTATCGACGCTCGATCGCGTTACGCAATCGCCGTCGATAATCGTGTCAGCACCGGACGTATCTGTGTCAATAATTACATTCAGCAGATCCGATACGTTTTCATTGACCAAGTCACACACACACACGCACATGTGCGTGTGTTTGTGTGACACTTAATCGGAATGCATATTTACAGGTAATCTCGTGGATGGAATACCTTCGGATTATGCCGCCCAATGGACCATTGCGTACTTCTATTATTAGAATAAATTATTCAGTTACGTAACGATAAAAGCGTAATTAACAATTTCATAAAGATAAATACTAAAAGATTTCGTACAGTAACAACTGACACGCCTGAACTCCGAAACGAATGCAAATGCTACCACTTATCGACTTCAAAATTATTGGAATAGTGAAAGGTTTTCTGTGGCAGTTTCAAAGTTAGCAAAAATCATAACTGAAAGGCCTTGAATATCAAAAAAATGCACTATAATAAATCACCGTTTTAAAAGGCCAAACTGATAATAATTATGCAAAAGGATTATAATTTAAATGTCACATCAACAATGCATAATATTCCCTAAATTTAGTTAATAAGTAGACAATCTAATAATCAATGGTAATTGTAATATAGTTTAGATTGTTGCCTGAGAAAACGGCAATGTTTAAATTCATCCGCAAGATACAGAACTTTATTTATTTACTGGCATTTGCGTATCATCAACCTGTACGGAATTATTCATAATATAGTATTGTTGGTATGCTACGTATCTCTATATATTCTCTATTCCATTATTATATGTCCTTTCGTCGCATTTTTGCATTTATTAAAGCACAAACATATATACACATACACAAGCTGCGTACGTAGTTCACGTACTTTTATCTCGACGTTCGAATTTTCAAGGTCCGCGCGAAAATGAAAGTTTTCACTTCGGGAAAGGTCGCCCTTACGTAATTACAATTATCTTCGAAATCCTGAAACAAACATCTAATTACCGCTATCTAGATCATATATTTGCACCAAGATCACTCATTTTATCTGTCACTTACGTACTATTTTTACTTGGCGATTAAATCTCATTGTGTTTAAAATTGATTAAAGAAGAATCTAGAGTGTAAATGTGTGAATTCTAATATGGTCACGAGAGGAAGAGGACAGAGAAAGAAAAGTTTGCTATGTGTAGATAATAAAAGTAATACTGAGATAATAAGGTTGAAAGAACCGCAAGCTGATTAACATTTGGAGCAAACGTCCTCCGATTTCTTTTGTAGTTTTTCATTATTGTAGTGCGTAGACTTTGCAATCATAATAAATTATGAATCATTGAACCTCAACATCACTTTCGATGCTGCTACGAAGTTTGTATATATATTCTTTTTTTTTGCTGTTGATTTCGTTCGATGGTTCCAGACGAAGAGAAAGTGCCAAAGCTTCTTGATCCGCCATATGCTATGGTCGTATTAATAATAAAGAAAAAAAAAAGAACATAGCGTGAATGTAATATCCCGTTTCCGGAAGACTCTGGACTTTTCTGTTAGACGAGGTTCAAGTTACAATGGTAGAATATCACAGATCAACAGCAACTGTCGCAGACGAGGCGAGGTTCTTCAACATCTCACTCGCATACTAAAAAGATCGTTGAATTATGCATTCGTCGAGCGAATAGGAAACTCTAATCGTCTAAAAAAAAAAACAATTTAGCTTCTGTTTTCCACAAAAAATAGAAATTACTCGAAACGCATTTAATTTAACGTAGCAAAAATGTTTGAAAATTGACTCCAATTATGTTTTTTTTTGTTGTTCCAAGTTTTCCTTGCTTTTATGTAGATTATTATAATTGCCTTGTATAAACAAACCACTTATTAATTAGATAAACAGACGTGTCTTCGTGCCTGGTCATGATAATATTGAAATACAATTAGTGTACAAATATTTGCGAGGATTTAAGAAAATATAATATTTTTTCAAAAAAATAGAATAATCCCAGATAAGATAAAGTGGGATTTTCGAGAAATTTCGTGGTTAATTGTGCGATAAAAATACAGTACAATTCGAGTTACCACTTCCGGATCATCTAGAGTCCCGCAGATTTACAGTAGCCTCGAGTGGCGTTGGAATTTAATCGCGACGAAATCAAATTCGTTATCAATCCACGCTTGTTACTAACTTAAATCCATTGTTTGCGGACTTTGATTTCTACACGAATTACGGTTACGATTATCGTTACGCAATGTTGAGAGGAATGTCTCAGAAGTTTCTGTCAAGGTTCGAAGGAATTTTGGTTCTTAATTATAAGGTTTTCACGCGATTTACATACCGAATTGTTTGTGTGTGTGTTTGTGTATATAGTTTTGTTTATGTAACGTGTATTAATTGTCCGGCCTACTCAAGGACAATTTTTTGGAAATTGGGAGGAAACTTTGCACACTCAGCCTCTCATTCTTATAAGATTCGTAACTGCACTAATAGTTGACATTCGATGGGGACGTCTTTCTTCTTCACCCTCACCCTCTGCTTTTATTCTTGTACATTCTGCATTCGGATGAGTCATCCGCTATATGCACTCATACCGTTTTCTACTTTTAGATCATGCTCTTTCTTTCATAATTCACAGTCGCTAATTATAAATCGGCTTGACTACTCGCTTCAGAACTGCTTTGTAAGTTGATACACGTATATTCATATTTACTAAATTCTTGATTGTAGTATTATGAAAGCAAAGCACAGATTAATTTAAACACATCATAAAGATCATAAGTCATAGATTTATCTTAACTTAAGTATGAAATTTAACAAAATTTCTATTTTACAAGCTAATTTTTGTATAGATTTTTTCCTATTTAATGAAATAAAACTTCGAATTATAAAGATAATCATATATAATTAATATTGAAAAATAAAAGTAACTTTTCTTTAAAATTTGACTCGAATGGATTAATTCTCTACGATCTTCTACAAGTCTAAACATTATACAAACTGTACTTAATACACAAAGATAAATGATATCTTGGCTGATGTCCAATAAGGAAACACATACGCGCTGATACTACTACAACTACTGAAACAAAAAAATAATGTATAGCGCAAAGTGCACTGACATTGAAGGTTACCGACCGTGGTGTTTCTGTAATTTCTATAAAGAATATTTATAGAAAATTTAAATTTATTTTCGTTTTACTAACTTCATAATTATACTGATAACACTCACACAAATCCAACGATATTTCTGTTTTCGTGGCAAATAAATTATTTTTCTATTTTTTCAAAGATTATGAGTTCAAAATAAGGAAGAACATTTCACGTTTTCCAAATGTGTTTATATGCTCAAAATCGATAATTCGCGCTTGAACTCTCGTTAAGTTTGCTTTCATATTCAAATAACTAGAATCGATTCAATCGAAAGTGTACACTTTTCCACGCTTTGCCGCAAAATTACGTTACACAAAATCAACGAAAATACTCATGCGCGCAGAAAATT